TTTTACCCTATGTGCACGTTAATTTCAGATTCTTGATTAATGGAAACCACAACTACTTAATGCGCTTTTATTTGTGACTCACTTAGTCACTGTGATAGTCAAGCCTTTGTTTAAAAGGAGCAAACTCACTTTTTATAGTTGCTTAGTGTCTGTTTACTGTCGTAGTTCCAGGACATCCACGGCTATGCCGAATTGCTACTTCACTGTATATGGTATCAAAATTTCTTTTGCTTCATCTCCTTCATTATCCTACTTTAACTTCTTGGTGGGGTGGGGGGCAGATTATCCCACCTGCTCCTTAAGTAAGGCCTACTACAACTATACCAAAATCAGTTTTCATTTGAAATAGAGAACCTGCTGTTATTTCTTATTTCCGAATTTACCCCTACTACCTTTTACTCATTTCTTTAACCACTCAATTCAAGGAGAAGGTATTGATTGATTGATTTCAGCTGGTAATTTGGAAGGGACATACTTAATAGGAAGTTGAGAAGTCTCTGTCTTAGATGAATACTAGACTCAGGGTAATAAAAATGTTGATATAACACTGACTTTGTAATTACTCGGATGCTGTCTAATTAGTACACTTTCCTAACCATATTGATTTTTTTTCAAACTACATTTTACAGCATTACAGTGCACTTATAGGTCAACTCTAATTTCACAAATGCACTTAACAGCTGAGTGGAGAGTTAACAGAAGGATTTTAGGTCTTGCCCTTCTTTGCATATTGATGTTTCCACAGAGACTATGCCTTCCAACCAATGACTGCAGATGTTTGGATTGTGTGTGGCGAATGTAGACATCTCAGATGAGCCACCAATTAGTTAAATTACTGTTTAGTTGATAATGAGAATAAACCTCAGATTTTAAAGCCCATTCCATAGCTAGCTGCCTTGAATGCCAGCTTGAGGGGCATGTTGCATCAAAGCAGACCCATCAACCTTCACATTACACTGCCTCTTAGTTACCGTATTTGTAATCAGCAGGTTTCCCAAAAATGCATAGTACAGTCTTTCTACAAATATATTTTAAGGCCTGAATGGAATTGAGAATGGATTTTAAAGAATTAATTTTG